TCCTCCCTCTTCCTGAGCAACAAGGGACCTTGTTTGCAAAGACAGTCTCCTCTTCCCCACGGAATGACTCCCTCCTGGTGAGGAGCAAAGGGGCCTGTCGGGAAGGGTTTATATACAGAACATCCCTAACCTCCCAATCATTGCGCCTCTGAGGAATTGAGAAAAAGACAACAGAAAACAAGCATGCCGCCATCCCAAGGAGCCGTTTCTTAAATCTTTTTGACAAGCTTCTGATTAAATATGGGATATTGCACATAAAAAAGCAGACTGGGCAGTCGAAGAAAACAAAGTTACTTTATGTTAACTGTCGTCTTCCCTTGCGCTGTTAAAGCCAGGGGCTTGCTCTTGCAATTGCCTCTTGCTAAACGCCAACATTACAAGGACTAGGCTGGTTACTGTGGTGGGTTACCTTGTAGTTTGTTCTTATTCCCTTTTCTTCCAAATCCTGGGGGCATCATCAGAGAGAATGTAAAGTGCCACTGAAAGGCATAGCAACTCTCTGCTTTAAGGCTGAATCAGCTTTCTGAAAAGCAAACAAATTGGGGGGGGGGGGGGGAGGTTTCAGAAAGGAAGTGGCCATGCCTGTCCAAGTGGAGGCAGGCGTGGATTAAGGACGGGAAAGGAAGTTGCTGGGGCTTTGGATAAAAGATTTGCCTTCCAAAATCATAATGTAATGGAAAAGGTATTCTAGTCAGTATGTCTGCATGTCAAAGGAGAATCAGTCACTGAAATCAGACTTGTTTTACTGCAAATAGAGTAAAGAGAAATGTACAGTCAAACAGGAATCTCTGCCAGTTTGGCAAATCTGACGATATAGAGTAGGACTAAGGGCATGATAGATCCCATTTGAATGCACAAGAAAAGGCAGGGACCTGCAGCACTGTAAAGAAATTTCTAATATTTTATTTAAAAATGGTTAATTTAACAGAGGTTAAAATCGGTAAGTTGAGGAAGGGAGGGGGGAAACTTGCTCTGCAAATCACTTTGAAAATGTCTGGCTTTTCTCGTAAACTGCATTTCCTGTGCTTTAACCTATTTTGCAGCAGGAGATCCAATCTGAGGAAGTAGCAGCAAAATTTCACCTCCCACCAAGAGATGCACCATGGGGACATAAACAGTGACAGGGATCTCTAAAAACTATTTTGAAAGTTCTTTTCTAAAAAGAGACTTCTGTAGTACTTATGTTTCTCAAGCCATCCACATTATTGGAACTAATGACCACAGTTTAGTGACACTTGGAGTTAACATTCAGTTATATAAGTAAACTTCATTTGAAAAGTTAAAATCAGCAAGAGAGAATTGTATCAATAAGCAGGCCAACTCCAGCAGGATCCAATAACCTCTCTATAAAGCTATTTAGTTATACCAGCAGCCTTGAGTCATGTAGTGGGATGGATGTGGTCACTTCAGTATGGTTTTGCTCGTTCCTTTGATGAGATTTAGGATATTGCTCTTCTTCCACGTGCTGCTTTTCCTCAGTTGTGGAGCCTCTTAGGGTTCAGTGTCTTCATATTGCTTGTTCAACATGTGGAGCCCCTGGGGGAAGAGTGAGGGATGCGACAAGCTGCACTTTCATTCTATACTAAGAGTACTTAGCTCTATGGGTGTGATCCACAAAGGTACTTAGTTCCATTAGGCACCACTGTGATCCACAAAACTCCTGCTTGGCTGTTGTCCTAAACCTGTAGGCGCCTCAACTCACTCAGCCCCTAAGTTTTTGCAGTAAAAGGAACCTAGGCGCTCATGTTTCTGGCTCTGGGCATGTGCACTCCTGCTTCACGCTAGTTGCCCAGACGGCTATCTCCTGCTTAAGCCCCAGTGCAATTCACAAAGCAGGGAAGATAGGCATTTTGCCATCTAAGTCATATGCAGGGACCCAATGTGGTAGGTGTGCCCAGAAGCTACCTCAGGTGAGCTCACACAAAACAAGAGGAAGGAGCTCCTTTCTAACCTTTAGCCTAGTGTACTCACCTTGTAGGTGGGAGACCCCTGGTTGAAGTCCTCGCTCCTCCTGAGAGGGAGAAGGAATTTGAACAGTCTGCAGACCCTCTCAGGTGAGTGCTCCAACTGCTACACTGTAGAGTCATTCTAACTATTTCTCAGCCCCAATTAATATTTAATTATTCAATTTTTCATTAAACGGAAACAATTTCAATAGGAGGAGGGATTGAGGAAGCCTCACATCAGAATATCCCATTGCCTGGCAGTTAGGGCATTCATCTGAGAAGTGGCAAAGCCCTGTTCAAATTCCTTCTCCCCCTCAAAAGAAAGGGGGGTACCCTAGCCACAGGCTAAGGGTTATAAGGCAAGGACTCCCTCCTAGTTTTGTATCTACCTCTGAGAGGGGGCATGGCTTAGCACATCCCCTTCTGGTCAGCATCTCCCGTTGGCTAGCTTAGGTATCTCCCTGTATAACATGCTGGCTTGTGGCTCACAGTCTAAGGGTATGTCTACACTACAAAATTAGGTCAATCTTGCAGAAGTCAATTTTTAGAAATCGATTTTATACAGTCAGTTGCATATGTCCACACTAAGTGCATTAAGTCGGCACAGTGTGTCCATAGTACTGTGGCTACCGTCGACTTTTGGAGCGTTGCACTGTGGGTAGCTATCCCACAGTTACACTGCAGTCTCCGCTGCCCATTTGAATTCTGGGTAGAAATCCCAATGCCTGATGGAGCAAAAACATTGTCGCGGGTGGTTTTGGGTACATGTTGTCAGTTGCCCCTCCCTCTGTGAAAACAACGGCAAACAATCGTTTCGCACCTTTTTTCTATGCAGATGCCATACTGCTGTCAGCAGAGAGTGCAGTAGGACTGCTAACCGTCATCGTCATCATTCACCGCTTCCGCTGCAACTCTGCTCTGCTGCTCTTGTCTCAATAGCGAATTTCTCCATGTTTTCTGTCATGTGTTCCCGGGTACTTGTGTTCTTCCTCAGGAAATGTGTGCGGTGCTAACCGTTGTCCTCCACCGCTTCTGCTGCAACTCTGCTCTCCTGGTGCCATGAATCCACCTCACAGGTCCTCTCGTTGTTCTATATAAATATCTATTCTCGTGGCATCCATCGTCATCTACCGCTTCCACTGCAACTCTGCTCTCCTGCAAATGCCATACCACGGCAAGCGTGTAGCCCGCTCAGCTCACTGCTGCTGTTGTGAGTATTGCAAACACCTCACACATTATCTTGCAGTATGTGCAGAACCTGCAAAAGCAGGCAAGGAGGCGACGACAGTGCGATCACGATACTGATGAGGACATGGACACAGACTTCTCTCAAAGCATGGACCCTGGCAATTTGGACATCATAGTGGTAATTGGGCAGGTTCATGCCGTGGAACGCCGATTCTGGGCCTGGGAAACAAGCACAGACTGGTGGGACCACACAGTGTTGCAGGTCTGGGATGATTCCCAGTGGCTGCAAAACTTTCACATGTGTAAGGGCACTTTCATAGAACTTTGTGACTTGCTTTCCCCTGCCCTGAAGCACAAGAATACCAAGATGACAGCAGCCCTCACAGTTGATAAGCGAGTGGCGATAGCCCTCTGGAAGCTTGCAACGCCAGACAGCTACCAGTCAGTCGGGAATCAATTTGGAATGGGCAAATCTACTGTGGGGGCTGCTGTGATCTAAGTAGCCAACGCAATCACTGAGCTGCTGCTATCAAGGGTAGTGACTCTGGGAAATGTGCAGGTCATAGTGGATGGCTTTGCTTCAATGGGGTTCCCTAACTGTGGTGGGGCAATAGACGGAATGCATATCCCTCTCCTGGGACCAGACCACCTTGGCAGCCAGTACGTAAAGTGCAAGGGGTACTTTTCAATGGTGCTGCAAGCACTGGTGGATCACAAGGGACGTTTCACCGACATCAACGTGGGATGGCCGGGAAAGGTGCATGATGCTCACATCTTCAGGAACTCTGGTCTGTTTGAACAGCTGCAGGGAGGGACTTACTTCCCAGACCAGAAAATTACCATTGGGGATGTTGAAAAGCCTATAGTTATCCTTGGGGACCCAGCCTACCCCTTCATGCCATGGCTCATGAAGCTATACACAGGTTCCCTGGACAGTAGTAAGGAGAAGTTCAACTATAGGCTGAGCAAGTGCAGAATGGTGGTAGAATGTGCATTTGGACGTTTAAAAGCTCGCTTGCGCAGTTTACTGACCAGGTTAGACCTCAGTGAAACCAATATTCCCATTGTTATTGCTGCTTGCTGTGCACTCCACAATATCTGTGAGAGTAAGGGGGAGATGTTTATGGTGGGGTGGGAGGTTGAGGCAAATTGCCTGGCGGCCGATTACGCACAGCCAGACACCAGGGCGATTAGAAGAGCACAGCTGGGTGCCCTCCGCATCAGAGAACCTTTGAAAACCAGTTTAATGACTGGCCAGGCTACGGTATGACAGTTCTCTTTGTTTCTCCTTGATGAAAACCCGCCCCCTTGGTTGACTCTTCTTCCCTGTAAGCCAACCGACCTCCCCCCTTTGATCACCACTTTCAGAGGCAATAATGTCATTATTGTTTCAAAATCATGCATTCTTTATTAATTCATCACACAAATAGGGGGAAAACTCGCAAGGTAACCCGGGAGAGATGGGAGAGGAGGGAAGCACTGGAGGGAAGTGGGGTGGTGGATGAGGGGAGGAGGGAAGGACAAGGCCACACTACAGTTCAAAACTTACTGAATGCCAGCCTTCTGCTGCTTGGGCAATCCTCTGGGGTGGAGTGGCGGGGTGGCCCTAGCCTCCCCGCCCCGCGTTGTCGGTCGTCTGGGTGAGGAGGACATGGAACTTAGGGAGGAGGGCAGGCAGTTATACAGGGGCTGCAGCGGCGGTCTGTGCTCCTGCTGCCTTTTCTGCAGCTCCACCAGATGACTGAGCATGTCAGTTTGCTCCCCCATTAGACTCAGCATTGCATCCGCTCTCCTTTCATCGCGGTCCTCCCTCCTCTCATCGCGTTCATTTAACGCTTTCCTGGTCTCTGCCATTGTTTGCTTCCATGCATTCTGCTGAGCTCTTTCAGTGCGGGAGGACTGCATGAGCTCTGAGAACATTTCATCACGAGTGCGTTTTTTTCGCCTTCTAATCTGCGCTAGCCTCTGGGACGGAGATGATGGGGGAGCGTAGAAACATTTGGAGCTGCAGGAGGGAAAAAAAGGGAGAGTAGTATTTTAAAAGATACATTTTAGAGAACAAAGGGAAGACTATTTCACACTGAATCAAGCAATTCACATTACACAGCACATGTGCTTTTGGTACAAGGTCGCATTTTCCTTCTTTTTTGAGTGCCTGCCGGTTTGGTGTGAGACATCACATGTGCTCGGCTGGGCAACAGAATTCGGCTTGCAGGAAACCATGGTAAGGCAAAGGGTTTCAGCTTCTTCAGCCTTCGTAACACAGGGGAACAGTTTCAAACAGCAGCGCCCTCCTTTCCCATACCAAGCAAAGCCCATTGGGTTGGCCATTTAAAAGGAGGGACTGTGGCTTTAGGGTGAATGTGCAGCACAACCCCTCCCTCCCAATTCTCTGGGATGATTGCTTCACCACCACCCCCCACACACACCGCTTGGCTAGTATCAGGGAAGATCCCTGTCAGCCAAACGCGAACAGCTCAGCATGAACGGGTCTCCCCTCACCGTGTGGCTAACAGTGGGGATGATTTCTTTTCAGCCAAAGGCAAACAGTCCAGCAGGAACAGGCACCTCTGAATGTCCCCTTAAACAAATTTCCCATATTTGAACCAGGTGACCATGAATGATATCACTCTCCTGAGGCTAACACAAAGAGATAAAGAACAGATGTTGCTTGAATGCCACCAAAGCCTGGGCCCTTCGCTGCAATGCTTTGTTCTGCAATGATTCCAGACTACTTGCTACTGGCTTGGCATGGTAAAAGTGTCCTACCATGGAGGATAGAATAAAGCTGACCTCCCCAGAAACCTTCTGCAAAGGCTTTTAGAGTCCCTGTAGGATTTCCGCTCCATCCTCAGACACGTTAACAGACTTTTCCAGTAGCTATACTGGCCACAAATGCATCCCAAGTCTTCAGGGAAAATTAATTATTAAACACGCTTGCTTTTAAACCCTGTATTATATTTACAAAGGTACACTCACCAGAGGTCCCTTCTCTGGCTTCATGGTCCGGGAGCCCGCCTTGGGAGGGTTAGGAGGGTATTGGCTCCAGGGTGATGAACAGTTCCTGGCTGCCGGGTAGAAGGGATTCTCGGCTTGTCTGCTGTGTGCTATCCTCAACCTCCTCCTCCTCATCCACAAAATCCTCATCCCTGTTGCATGAGACTCCCCCTTGCAGGTGTCCACGGACAGTGATGGGGTAGTGGTAGGGGTGCTTATCATAGAAGCGGCATGTATGAGGCTCTGACCTGGAGCAACCGTCTGCATCCTTTATTTTTTGGTAGGCTTGCCTCAGCTCCTTAACTTTCATGCGGCACTGCTGTGTGTCCCTGTTGTAGCCTGTGTCCATCATGCCCTTGGAGATTTTGGCAAATATATTGGCATTTTCTCTTTTGGAACAGAGTTCTGCCTGCACAGATTCTTCTCCCCATACAGCGATCAGATCCAGTATCTCCCTTTCGGTCCATGCTGGACCTCTTTCGTGATTCTGGGACTCCATGGGCACCTGTGCTGATGAGCTCTGCATGATCACCTGTGCTGATCAGCTCGCCACGCTGGCCAAACAGGAAATGAAATTCAAAAGTTCCCGGGGCTTTTCCTGTCTACCTGGCCAGTGCATCTGAGTTGAGAGTGCTGTCCAGAGTGGTCATAATGGAGCACTCTGGGATAGCTCCCGGAGGCCAATACCGTCTAATTGCATCCACACTACCCCAAATTCGACCCAGCAAGGTCGATTTTAGCTCAACTCCCCTCACCGGGGAGGAGTACAGAAATTGATTTTACAAAACAGGCTTGGTCGTGTGGACGGGTGCAGGGTTAAATCGACCTAACGGTGCTAAATTCAACCTAAACTCATAGTGTAGACCAGGGCTAAGATGCCTCTCTCTCCCCTTTCACTGTATAGGAGTCTGGGCACCTAACTCAGGCTCTGTGGATTGCAGGGCTGTTCCTATGATTTTCTAGGTGCCTAAAAGTTAGGCATGGCAATGCTCAGCATCACACTGTCTCAGTCCCTTTGCAGATCTGGGCCCAACTCTCTGTTTCATGGAGGCCAGCAACTGCCCTGCTCTTCTAGCAGGGTTCAGAACCAGCTTACCAAGGAACGTGGTCCATACTCCATCCGTTGGATTCTTTAAACCCAGTCTGGATGTTTTTCTAAAAGATTATGCTGTAGATCAACCACAAGCTACTGGGCTCAGAGCAGGCACCGAGTGAAATTCTGTGGCCTGTGTTATGCACAAGGCCAGACAAGATGAATAGGTGGTGAGCTGTGATTACCACCCAATTGACTAAGAATTGCACACATCCTATTCTTGTGACTGTATGTCCCCACACTCCCTATCCCCACTTACCTGTTCATCTCATCTGCTAATGTCTTGTCTGTTAGACTGGAGCAAGATGAAACTCTTTGGGAAAAGGGATTGTCCTTTTCTGTGTGTTTGTACAGCACCTGGCACAATTGGGCCACAACCATCCTTTCCTGGCCACAAGATTTCATCTTTTCCTTCTCTGATGCAGATGAAACCATGGCTATCCATGACTTCGCCAACTCCAGACTAGTCCATAGCAGCACACTCTAGTTGGGGGCTTCTCTTGCAGGACACACGGAAGCTTTAGCTAGTGCAGAATGAAAAGGAGTTCTTGTGGCACCTTAGAGACTAACCAATTTAAAATTGGTTAGTCTCTAAGGTGCCACAAGTACTCCTTTTCTTTTTGCGAATACAGACTAACACGGCTGCTACTCTGAAACTAGTGCAGAATAAGGCATGACACATTTTAGATAGGGTGGATGGATAAATGCATACGACACCCATGGTTCTTGCTCTGCACTGACTCCGAAACACTTACAAGTGTAATTCAGGCTGTTGATTACTATCTGTAAAACCCTCAGTGCTCTGACACTAAGGAATTTTACATCAGAATTCCCACCCATACAGCTGAAGTAGGTAGCTCAGATGGGAATTTTTTGAATACAATTATCTAATGTGGACACAGCCTACATCTCAGTTATATCAGACACCCTCTCTCTACACTTCATCACAGCACTTACCTTCAGTATAATGCTTCATCAGTGTGCTACTCATCCCAGTGGTCATTTGCTTGTATGTGATAACCCCACCCTCCATCCTTGCTCTGTTTAGGTGTTAGAGTTTCTGCCTTAGAAACTTACAACTTCACTCTGTATCTTAGTACATCACTCTGCCCACCCATCCTGTTTGGGCCTTTCAGGTGCTACTGTAAAATAAACGTTTAATAAGACTGTGGGTCCTAGGGTAAGACCTTGTGGTAGCAGGTGCCTGAACATTCTCACTGATGGGCAATCCGCAATGGCATTTGCTGCTGCTGGAAAACTGCCAGCTCTGGACTGAGCATAGAGCTGGTGGGGAATTTTTCAACAAAACTTTTTTTTAAATCAGAAATCCAATTAATCAACACCAAACTTTTTTTGGGGAAAGGGCTGGTTTCAACAGATTTCTTAAACTAAAAATTTTATTTTGGAAAAATCTGTCAAAATTGTTGCCTTTTGACTTTTTTAAATGAAAATTTTCAGTTTTCTGGTTCTAAAGGACTTTTTGTTTAGAATTAAGCTAAAATTAGTAGAAAGTAAAAAAAAATGGTAAAAACGGTTGAAATCGAAATGAAATGTTTCAAAATGATCAAAACAAAAATATTCTGATGGACCCAAACTGATTTTTTTTTCCAGATTTTCAGCTGGCAACAAGTTTTGAGATTTCAGCTTTTCATCTGGATTTGGGATGGGAAAATGTTTTGAGATCTCAAACGGTTTTACAGGACAGGAAAACCGTTTCCCATCCAGCTCCTAACTGCATGTGAGGCAAAACTCAACTTTTTGTTTTTAACGAACTGTAGAGGTTGGCTAGTCCCCCAGTTCTGGTCTTTATAAAGAAGCTGGTTTTGATGGTTTGGGGGAAGGTGGACAAGAACTGAGTGGTGAGAGAGAGACAGAATATATACTCCTTAATTTGGATAAATGTATTTTCTTGATGATGTAAAGGCTGGATAGTATAGCAATAGGAAATTTATCAATGTGTGTAATAACTACATGTCCTCACTCAAGAGGATAAGTAAGCCCTTCTACACCATCTTTTTCTCTGCCAGAATCCTCTCTTTTGCAGCATCCATCTCTCCAGATGATCTCTTCCAAATATTGCTCTTGCCTCCTTTTGATCTTCCCCAATGGCAATCACTGTATTCTTTGATGAGCCTTCTGTGACATCAGTACTATTCTTTATATATGGCACTTGTTACATGTTTCAGAAGAACCGTCCATCTGTCTGCGCGCTTTGATGGTCCATCCTTCTGAGCCATATCCCTCTCCTTGAGTTTGGCTTAGTAGGCACTCATGGAGTCCTCCCCAAATACTTTTCCATTCATGCATTTTGAACATGAAGCAATAGGATTAGCCATAGGGTAGATTTCAGAGTAGCAGCCGTGTTAGTCTGTGTCTGCAAAAAGAACAGGAGTACTTGTGGCACCTTAGAGACTAACAAATTTATTTGAGCATAAGCTTTCGTGGGCTACAGCCCACTTCATCCGATGCATGCAGTGGAAAATACAGTCGGATGATTTTATATACACAGGGAACATGAAACAATGGGTGTTACCATACACACTGTAACGAGAGTGATCAGGTAAGGTGAGCTATTACCAAAAAGGAGAGAAAAAAAACCTTTTGTAGTGATAATCAAGGTGGGCCATTTCCAGCAGTTGACAAGAACGTGTGAGGAACAGTAGGGGGGAAAAATAAACATGGGGAAATAGTTTTACTTTGTGTAATGACACATCCACTCCCAGTCTTTATTCAAGCCTAATTTAATGACGTCCGGTTTGCAAATTAATTCCAATTCAGCAGTCTCTCGTTGGAGACTTTTTACCTCAAAGTCACAGCTTTGAATCCAACCTAGGTTAATGGCAACCAAAATTTCTTAATTATGTTGTTCCCTCCCCTTCACCTGTTTACACAGACACGGACATACAGCTCCAGTTACCCAATGTACAGTCACTAAACTTTACCAAGCAAGCACTTGTTCTACCAGGATGGCAGAGACAAGGGATATGAACATAACATGGTGACTGCATCTTCTTTCCATTTACTCATCTGCACAGACATTTAAAGTGATCTAATTGCCCTTTATGTGAAAGAAAGCCTCTCATTCAATATTAGGTTCCCAGACCACCCAAGAGGATATTATTCTCTCCAGAGCCAGTGTGTGACCTTGGGCAAATCACTTAACATCTCTGTGCCTAAATTCCCTCATCTGTGAAACGGGTATAATAATACCCTACTATGTTACAGGGTGTGGGAAGGCTAAAATAAACAAACTGCTTTTTATGTTCTTAGACCTTTGGGCAGAAGCTACTGTGTATGTGGGAAGTTAAATCATCATATTGTAAAGCTGGGGTTCCTGCATGTGTGGGTGGATGTGTATATAAAGACTTATTTAGGTAGCAAAGAAGTCAAGTACTCAAAAGCTAGGAATTACCAGATCTACAGTTGCCCATGCAACCTTAATCTACCCCTTTGTGCATCCATCCTATGCACTGAATGAGGCAGGGGTTCTGTGGAAAAATAGCAAGTGATCATGTAATTAAAGACTGTATCATGATGCACACACCCATGTGCTGCCCCTCGAGAGAGGGAGAGAGAGAGAGAGGGGCCTGGCTGCTGTTGTCTTGTGCTGGATCCATGGGCTGTTGGGAGAGTCTGGCCCAGTTCTTTCTCCCTCTGTCCAAGAATTGGGGGAGTTCCAGCCCCATATGATGCCCCTGGGGGCAGGTTAAGGGGCCAATGGGGCCTTGTGGTGGATCTGGACATTTACAGGGGGAAGCCTGCCTCCTCCCCCTTTTCCACTACAGCTGCTCCAACAGCTCCCTGGTGTTCCCCATGCAGCCTGTGCTGCTGCTTCAGTGGAGGCATGAGCCCAGACTCGGAATGCTCCGTGATTTTGGTAGGCTGCCAGAGTTTTCCAAAGGCCCACAAGTGAGAGACTGGAAATGATGGTTTTGAACATTTTAGATCTTGGCCAAAGCTGAGGTAGAATTTCATGGGCCAAAGAAAAGGCATGCCCATGGCTTAAGGGCACCTCCTACTGAATATCAAAGACCTGCTGTGGGATCCCTTCTCAAAGAAAAGGTTGCAAGAATCCGTTGTAGTGGAAAGTTAAGCAGCCTAAATATAGGGAAGTCACTACCAGCTCCCCTCTCCCCCGGTACTGGATGAAATCAGAACTGCTCAGTTGTATGGCACATGCCCTATATTGATATTAGTTAGCGGAGATTCTCCTTTAGGTTATGTAGTAGTGGAGCTCTGGGTTTGGAGCAGGCGGATGTGAGTTTTTTCTCTCCTATTCACCAGGGTGGGTGTAATATGCACCATAGTGAGTCTTGCTGTTCCAAGGGCAGCAGATGTGTTGGAATAGGCCTTCATTTCCAGACAATGGTAGCACTCTCTGCAATCAGGACGTCTTTTCAACCACACCCACTTTGAGTTGGTCCATTTGTTGTCAAGGACCAGTAAGTGTCACCTATTAGTTTTGCAGACTATAAAACGTCATTGAAATGATACATTCAATTTTACAATGTAGCTTCTGGGGTGGACGTAAAAGGGGAAGACAGGCATGGGCTACGTGGCCCAGTACACTGAGTTTCTCTCCATCTCTCCAACCAAGGGGCTTCAGAACCAACATGTTTAGAATGTTTTTAAGCTAGCATGATGCTGCTAACCACCTACCCAACCTAGCTTTTAATTCCCTAAGACAGTGGTTCTCAACCAGGGGCCTGGGGCCCCCTGCGGGGCCACGAGCAGGTTTCAGGTGGTCCGCCAAGCAGGGCCAGTGTTAGACTCACTGGGGCTCAGGGCAGAAAGCTGAAGCCCCACCACATGGGGCTGAAGCCCGGGTCCCTGGGCCCTGCCACCCGCGGCTCAAGCCGAAGCCTGAGCAATTTAGCTTCATGGGGGCCCCTGTGCTGTGGGGCCCCAGGCAACTGCCCTGCTTGCTACCCCTTAACACCAGCCCTGGCTTTTATATGCAGAAAAACAGTTGTTGTGGCACAGATGGGCCGTGGAATTTTTATAGCATGTGTGTGTGGGGGGGGGCTCAGAAAGAGAAAGGTTGAGAATCCCTGCTCTAAGACATTAGTGACAGTAAGTTTAATGATCTTATCTCTATACATCATAAAACCATCATGGAATTCAGTCTGATCAGCGTTCTCTGCTCTGTAGGGCCTGGACTGGAACAGCCTAAGAACTACACACAATAACCTAGTGATCCTCCCACAACTCCTTTTTGGGTCAGGACCCCTACGATTACAACACTGTGAAATCTCAGATTTAAATAGCTGAAATCATGAAATTTACTATTCTAAAAATCCTATGACCATGAAATTGACCAAAACAGACTGTGAATTTGGTAGGGCCCTATCCATTGGTCTGTAGTAGACCTGGTTCAAATAAAGGCCATTAAGCCTGTTGCTTTCAAGAACATAACAGCCGCCATACTGGGTCAGACCAAACATCCATCTAGCCCAATATCCTGTCTTCTGACAGTGGCCAATTGCCAAGTGCCCCAGAGGGAACGAATGGAACAGGTAATCATCAAGTGATCCATCCCATCACTCATTCCCAGCTTCTGGCAAACAGAGGCTAGGGACACCATCCCTGCCCATCCTGGCTAATAGCCATTGATGGACCAGTAACATCTAAAACAAAATCATGTTTAACCAGTACTTTTTTATTCCAAGTTCCTGTTTAAATGCTAAAACAGAACAAACAAGATTAAAAAAAATACAGCTACATTCATGGCTGCATGCTTACATGGTTGCAAGTTTTTGCATGAAGCTTGAGTTAAAACCAGACAGATGTGGTAAGAGCCTTTTAGCTAGTAGAATAATCATAAGAAACTTCATTTTATATCTTTTAAAAGAGTGTGAACTGTTTTTATGGGATCCATCAGCTTTAAATGAATAATTTATAACGAAAGAAATAGCCTTCCTTATGTTACAACAAACCCTTGGGTGATTAATAAGGAATTTTTCTAATTACTTTAATTTCCCCCAATTATACTGTTTGTTTACTTCAGTAAATAACTCTCCTTCAAGGGAGATAAAACTATCCCTAGACGAACAGCTCCCTCTGGGGATTGGGGGGAAGGGACTGCAGGAAACTGGCTCAGGTGCCAGTAGGCTCTGGAAAGGTGACATTTAAGCAAAGGCAGGGTTGGTTAGACGAGAGGCAGAGGGATGTCATGCTGGAGAATTACAGGATTCTTCTTTCCTAAACCTGACTTGATCTCCTGGATGAGATGAGGGAAAGAGACAAGCATCACCAGGACTCAGAGGAAAAGGAGCTCCTGTGAGCAATGATGCAATCGTTACCTTAAAAGCAGACATTTATACTTCCAGTCTCAGTTGCAAGCAGACACTTTTGTCTAGGTATTGTCCATTCCCCTGTAAGCTCCTCAGGGCAGAGACCTGTCTTATTCAATGACTGTAAAGCACTAACTCTATAAATATTAAAACCTCTTCCAAGTCCAGTAGCCAATTTTTTTTAAAGGCTGATACTGAGGAAATACTGAGAGATTGAAGTGTTCTCCTACCTATATGCCATCATGTGTCAGCAATGCCCCTCTGCCATGTACATTGGCCAAACCGGAGAGTCTCTACATAAAAGAATAAAAGGGACACAAATCTGACATCAGGAATCATAACATTCCAAAACTGGTAAGAGAACACTTCAACCTCTCTGGCCACTCAGTAAAAGATTTAAGGGTGGCAATTCTGCAACAGAAAAGCTTCAAAAACAGACTCCAAGGAGAAACTTCTGAGCTTGAATTAATATGCAAACTAGATACCATTAACTTGGGTTTGAAGAGAGACTGGGAGTGGCTGGGTCATTACACATATTGAATCTATTTCCTTAAGTATCCTCACACCTTCCTGTCAACTGTCTAAATGGGCCACCTTGATTATCACTACAAAAGTTTTTTTCTCCTGCTGATCATAGCTCATCTTAACTAATCAGCCTCTCACAGTTTGTATGGTAACTTCCAACTTATCTGTATGTGTATATATATCTTACTATATGTTCCATTCTATGCATCTGATGAAGTGGGCTGTAGCCTACGAAAGCTTATGCTTTAATAAATTTGTTAGTCTCTAAGGTGCCACAAGTACTCCTGTTCTTTTTGCTGATACAGACTAACATGGCTTCTACTCTGAAACACTGAGGAGTTCTCTCGGGGCTATAGCTTAGCAATGCGGCCATCCCATGGCAAGGGGCAATCCCTCCGCTTTAAAGGGGATCTGTAAAGGAAAGGGACAATTGGATTTGTGCTTTTTTCTGCTACTTAGAACATCTGTAGGCTTGGAAGGATTAGATCTTTATCAGTAAACACTGGCAAATGATTTCACTGTACACACACACAGACAAAAGAATTTCCATCAATAA